CCCCCCCCCCCCCCCCCCCCCGTGCTGCCTCTAAAGGTACGATGTCCTCGCTTCCGGAGTGGCCAGAGACTCCACTGTACATGCGAACCACCACCATGATGCGTCTGTTGGGCCCTTGGATTGCTCTTGCAGTTTGTGGTGAAGTGAATGATGCTGCAGTGAACACACGTGTGCTTTCTAACCGGTGTTCTGGGTTTCGTCACGTGTGTGCCCAGAGTGGAGGTGCCGCTCATTGGTCGGTCTGACAGGTGTGAGGTGGCGCCGCCCTGTGGTTTGAATGTGCATCTCTCTGATGTCTATGGCCCCCTGTGACTAGTCAGGCCTCTGCCCACTTTGTAACTGGGTTGTTTTGGTGTTGAGGAGGCGGCGTTCTTTATAAACTCTGCTGTGCAGACTTCCGACTGACATACTGCGTGCTTTCCTTGTGTGGACTGTGCATGGCATCTGCCAGAAAAACACTGCTCATAGGCATGTTAGAGTTACGGGTTCAAGTTTCACATTTACGTCTTTAACCCACTTTGGGTTTGTCCTTGCACATGGTGCAAGGTGGTCTGATGTCATTGGTCTGCATGTGTCTCTCCAATAATTGAGTGTCTACCCCACGGCACATTTCTGCCTCCTGTGTGTGTGGCTCTGTGCCTGCCCCAGTGCCGTGCTGTTCTGATCACTGTGACCGTGGGATGCAGGGTGATACCAGGCGGCACACCTCCACCTGAGCTCTCGGTCGTGTCCGTCTGTAGGTGTCAGGTGGTTTCGAGTGATGGTGGCTCTGTGGTTACAGGGATGCCAGGACCCAGCTTACCTGCTCTGCAGTCTTGACGAGAACCAGGAAATGCTTTGCAGACGAGCACTGTGGGCTCGGGGAAGGGCTGGAAGGTGTACACGTGTGTAAGGGGACGGGGAAGGGTGGTGAGAGGTCCTGGAACGCGCTCCGCTCCTGCAGGCTCCCTGTGGCCAGTGGGGGAATGAGGAACACCAGCCAGTTTTCCGGGCAGCTGGGGGCAGACTCAGGAACTCAAATGCAGGATTGGGGAAAAGTCAGCCACGGCTGTTGGTACGGAAAACAATGGTAATACAGGAATGAACTCCGTTTTCCCGCCCGCAACTGTAAACCTACTTTTGCTCCACCCTACGTGAGAGTCCTTTCACAACATGACTTTGGGGGTGAGAGTGTTCGGTTCCCTCCTCCTGGGAAGGGCGCAGGGACAGGGAAGGGGCCGCGTGCCCAGGGAGCTGCTCACCTCGAAGCAGTGAGAGCAGCCGGGCTGGTCACTAATCACACTTCCTCTTACAGTATTTTTCAGGGTCGTTTATTTTCCACTGTTTGTTAAAAGTCTATTCTATAGCTGACAACCTAGACGCAATCACATTCACAAACGTCATACAGATGTCATCACAGCAAGCGCGAACCGAAGGGCACAGGTTTCGTCACGGGTTCATCACAGACAACGCCCAGCCCTCTCCTCACCGCCCGCACGAGGGTCCCTCCTCGCGGTAGGGAAAGCTCTGTCCTTCTGCAGTGAGTGGTGGTGAAATGCCGCTGTTTGTGGAGCATGATGGCACAGGACATTCTACATCAACGACTAAGAGAGTTAAAATAGTTCTCAGCGACGTCCCTTTTCCCTCCAATGACTTGAAAGCTGTGCTTTCCTGCCCGTGGCAGACACCTCACAGTCGGTCTGTCGTGATTAAGACAATCCAGGCACAGGCCGAGCACAGCAGCTGCAGCCGAAGGACACAGTGTGTGTCTCTCCTTCGTTAAAAATCCTTGTATTTGATGTTGCAGCGAAAGAAACGAACATCATAGACACAGACTAGAGGGGGGAAGCTACTCACTCTGACGTCCAATAACTTAAGCCTATCTGTACCTGCCACAGCGCAGGAAGGGGCACTAACACTTCGTCTTGGGGACACACAGGGTAGAGGACCGGGGAGTGTTCCCTCACCTGCAGGCCTGCTCGCTGTGGCACGGGGGGCAGGGCCCGCAGCCCTGCTGTCCCTCAGGTGCAGCACTGAGCACGTGCCCAGCGGGCCGAGCAGACAAGATGGAGCCGACACCAAGGGAAGACTGGATTGTCTACTGAGATGCAGGTAAGCAGTCATCACAGGGATCGTAAGTGCACTTCCACATGCTTCGTGTCAGAGACAACACACTTCCTAACTTGCTTGCAACAGGCTGCACGCACCCTTTCTTTTGGCCCAAATGCACTTTCTTTCCCCAGTGAACGTAAAGGACCACAACCACGAGAACAAAGCAGCCCTGGCCTGCGCCCGCGCGGAGCGAGCACTGGCTGGGGGGGTGTGTTTGCACAGGGCACGGGGCGCAAGGAGAGTTCCGAGGGCTCAGGGGCGTTCCGAGGGCTCCCTTCCATCTTTATTGATTCAAGATTTTGCACAGAAAGCTCTTTGGGGACTAGAACAGCAGCGAATGCATCACACTGTTTTCAAGACTTCAAGTTTCAAAAGCAAATTGTTTAAAAAAAGAATACAGTTCCTGATTGGAGTTAGATACAGGGACGCAGAAGAGCCATACTTACTTGAAGGTCACATGGTCTACAGGTGGTGGCGCGTCCCTAGGGGAGCAGTTGGTGGTATATGTTTTCTCAATACTCAAAAGGCTCAACCTCAAGCAGTAATAAACACGAGCAAAAGTGATTTAACCATTAAAATAAATATTCAGAAAAACCTCTCTGTACATACAAGTGAAAGGATAAGTAACACTTTCACGCAGAAAAATAATAAAGGATTTGTTCACAGAAGGAGCTGAAACCTGCTGTCCCAGCCTCGGGTCCGAGGAAGGGAGCACGGACGGGGACTACCGCTCACCACTAGCTCACGGCCGCTGCACGGACACTACCACCACTTACACGCGGGACTCAGAACTGCACTCTCTCCACCCACCGCTCGCGCTCACAGCATGCCGAAGCCTTTGGCGTAAGTGATGGCCTTCAGCAGTCGCTCTTTCAGCTTTTCTTTGCTTGAATATTCCGGAAGTAAAAGGACATTAAAGCAGGTGTGAGATGTAGGTAACCTACAGAGAGAGGAAGGGGGGAGGGAAACGGTAAATCGTGGGAAAGCGCCCAGGAGCACACGGCCCTCCCCGCCCGTGGTCTGTGCAGGACACTGAGCTACTCACAACAGATCCACCTAGTTCAGCGGTTCTCAACCTGGGGGTCGCGACCCCTGAAAATACATCCTGCATATCAGGTATTTACATGACGATTCATAACAGTAGCAACAAAAATAATTTTATGGTTGGGTCACAACATGAGGGTCGCGGCCTTAGGAAGGTTGAGAACCACTGTCCCCACTACAGAGCTGAAATCACCAAAAATTCTTACTTTTAGGTGGAGATCATATTCAAGATTTTAAAGTGCTCTTTAATGCTTATTAGAAAAACTATGTCAGTGACTTGGTAACAAACACTAATGTTACTGTAGAAAACGAACAGAGGGTTTCTGCACATCGAAACCACGCAGTAGGATACGGCCCAGGTAGGGTCCTTACTCACCACAGACTGTTAAGTGACGACAGCCTAGTGCTGACCCACCCCCTCCTGAGCCTCAGTTCACCCTCCTCAGATGGCTTCCGGGTAAAACGTTCCGAGCCAGAGTTTCCAAACAGTAACAGCAGAACATTCTCTGACGCGTCTCGGTGACGTGGAGACCTCTGCCTGCCCCCGGGAGTGCTCAGCAGCATGGGACAGGCCACGCGTGCGCAGGGTAGAAAGCAGGCGTGTTGGCGTGTGCCGCGGGGGGCCATTACCGTTCTGTGTCGGGGCCGTTCTTGGCGATGATCATCTTCAGCTTGCCGAGCCCGCCCACCGGCGCCCGGTCGGTGCCCGTGGTGAACTGCAGGAAGAGCCGCTTCTGCTCTTCGGTGAACGCGTGCACGATGTCCCAGAACTCCCTGCGAGGAGAAAGGACGCCGCTGACTGCACTGGCTGTGAGTAGCTGGATTTCACTTCACGTGTTAGGAGAGAACCCAGGGACTCCACGTAGAACCTTTATCTCAAGGACACGTTTCAAAAGCTTATGTTCATCGTGACATTATTTACACCAGTAAAAACGGGTAAACCTGAGTGACCGACAATAGAAGATAACTATGTAAACTGTGGTATTCAAAATACAGAATCGGTAACAAACAAAAGACTAAACCCAAATGCCATGACCAGGACTTTGATCGGGGTGCGCGCGGGGGGACGATCAGAGGGGGCTGGTCTGTACTTTCCTCCCTGGCCTTCCCACCAGTAAAGCCTCCTGGTAAGTTCATGCTTAGGAACGCTCTGGGCCTGCTTGTGTGGATAGTCAGGTGCCCGTAAACTTGGCAGATACACGAACGCGACCAACATGTGGCCTTTCTGTTAGTGCGACGCTGTTTCTGACCTGCGATGTCTTGGCGCTTCCCCAGGCCTCAGCGCCCAGACCTGTAGCCTGGAGAACAGTCCCAGTGCTCGGACGTGGAGCCTGCAGCACCTCCCTCGGAAGGAAGGACCGCACGCCCCATGCAGGTCAGCTGAGCCCCGACCCTGTCAGTCACCCTGCAGGCGGCAGCCCACCAGCAGTGCTCACTGAGACCAGTCTGGCCATATTATCAATATTTAGACAAAAAGGGGCTTCCACATGATGTGGTAGCCGCATCGATCACATCTCAGGCCCACAGGGCACCAGGACGAGTGAGTGAATGCGGGCATCACCAGAGGCCCTGAGAGGAGAGGGCGGCTGAAAACTGTCATTTTCGGCAAAAAACACCAACCCACATACTCAGGAAACGAACCAAACCCCACGGAGCATAGAGGACACTGTGCCTCAGGGACGAAGGGGAAACAGTCGTCCTCAGAAGGGCTTGGCACTAGCGGACCTGCCTTTGCAGACGACAACCTAAAACAAAGGAGACAGAGGGAAGAGCAGGGGGGCAGGCGCACACATAGGCCGCCCTCCTCCAGGGCTTCATAAACGCAGAAGAGATTAACGCTCAGGCAGCACGGGGAAAGGTGGGAGCGGAAGAGCTCAGTGGGAGCAAGGCTGCCACTCCCTGAAGAGATGGTGGCATCCGCCCAGATGCAAATGCAGCGACGCCAACACCCACCGAAGACACTGCTAGACACACGCACAGAACACACAGCGAGGAGGAGTCCTACATGCCCACCAGCTCAGTGACCCAGAGAGGCAGGAAGTAGACACCATAAAAGGAAAGAAACGGAAAACAGATAAAATGGCAAACGTAGGCCCTCACATACCAATAATTACCTTAAACACAAATGGTCTCCACACACCAATTAAAAGGCAGAGATTGACAGGGGCTTTAACACACACACAGGACAGGTTCTGTTCATCAGACTCCGAGCAAAGAAAGCGACCAGGCGTGAGGAGGGACCTCGTGCAGCGAGCAGGGACCGGCCCACCAGGAGCACAGGGCCCAGTGATTGCACTTGGGGGCATTGACCCCGAGAAATGAAAACCATTTCACATAAAAACCTGCCCGTATGTTCGTAGGGGCTTTATTGCCAAAAGTGGGGGACACCCCGAGTGTCCTGGGACAGGTGACCCGACAGCCTGCGCAGCAGTGGAGTGCGAGAGCTGCTGGGGCAGGAACTGGGCGGGCCTCCAGGAAACGAGGGCTGAGGGAGAGGAAAGGAGGAAGCCTAGGGCAGCGGTCGCCAACTGGTGGCCTGCGAGGTCCGAGAGGTTGGTGACCGCTGCCCTACAGGGTTCTGCTCAGTGAAACAAGCCGAATGGAGACAAATACCCTACAATTTCACTTACCCGTAGAATCTAAAAATCAAACGAAGCGAACAAACAAAATAGAAACAAATTCATAGAGAAACTGCTGGCTGCCAGAATGGAGGGGGTGTGGCTAAGAAATGCAAACTTCCAGCTACAGTCGCAGGTGAAGGACGGCCTGGGAGTCCCGTCGGGAACATGCTGGGAACTGTACGGGGATCACCTTGTAAGCTGTGCGAGTGTCTCACCACCAGTACATGACAACTAGTTCTCAATTTAAGCATTTAAATACAACGATAGGGATTAAAGCTACTCACCTAATCAGAACCGAGTCCCTGGAATAGCCACCGTCGTATTCTGTGGTTTCTTCCAGCGCCTGGAAATCTAGATTCTGCAAATTTTTAAAAAACACATCTTAGCATCCCCTCAGCGCACCACTGCCAACAGCCACACCACACGGTGCGTCCGCGGACGCTGCCTGCTTACCCGGCTTCCGCATATGAGCAGCTCAATTTCCTCTGGTCGGAACAAGTACTTTAGGGGAGATTCATTGGTCACCATATGAAAACCTCTTCGAAAAGCCTTGAACTGTTTTTCTACTGATTTATTGAGAATGTAGTCAGAATAGAGATTGACAAATTCCTGCAGAAAACATTAACCACAAGAACTCCTTATACGCTATACACACCAAACACAACAAGCTACTGGGCTGCACAGCTTTTAAAATTATTTTTATATTTATATTCCCAAAGGAAAAATATTCAAAAGTATTTTTACAAGTCAAATTATATACATGCAAAGGAATACACCTTAAACGATGTCACAGCTCTCTGTGATAGCAATATTAACCTGTAAATAGGCCATGTATGTAAACTAATAAAGATATGTTTCAATTTTGACATTAAACTAGACTGAATATAAAAGCTGGGCATCAACAGTTTTGAGGTTCCCTCAACTATGCAAGCAAACAGGAGACAGCAGCGTGCAGTGCAGTGCCTATGGGGCCAGGAGTCTCATGATTTCTAGCCACAATATTGGGGAAGCAGCAAATACCTTTGTGTTTTACTTGATACATAAGCTATTGCACCAAGTCACAAAAGGGAAATGTACTTTTTTTTCTTAGCATATTTTATCAAAAATTATATAAACACGTTTTTTAAAGGTTGATTCTATATCGTTTTCTTGATATGTTCTGGGTTATTCCCTTGTTTTCAGATGCTTACATTTTGGTCAACAGATGTGGTTTCAGAACACGTCTCAGAAGTGTATGTGAGCCACACGCACGTGCACATTACATGGGGTCTCACTTGTGTGGGGCCTGGCCTCCCTCGCCGTGAGGGCCCTGCCCTCGATCACCCACAGCGGCTGGCTCCCTCCCTGCCCGTCCTCTTTCTCTAAAAGGCCTTTAGTGTTCAACCGCGGGTTCTCACACCACCTTAGATCCCAGATTTACAAAACAGTGGCTACTGCATTGACAACTCGGTTACTTGACTTGTTGGGGCTGCGCCTGGACTAGATTAGAAACTGCTTTTAAAATGACACCCACTATATGTTTTGAAATTCTGTTCATAAAGAGACAAACACTGACGCAGAAACATGCACTACCTTCCGGTTTTCGTTTGTAATTGGGATCTTGTCACCATTTTCCTTCAGGTCGTACATCATGGGGTTACCGAACAGATCCGTCTGCGATATCTGGAAAGTGATCATCATGTCGTCCTCCACGCTCCCCTCGTACTCCAACAGGTCCTTCAGGCTCTGGAACAGAACCTGACAACAGACATGGAAGACCAAGGTCACCACGGAGCCGCAGACTACACCCTCTGTAATACTCTTGGAAGAACAGACTTGGACCATAAGACTGCAACACAGCACCCTGGCCGGCGTGTTCAGTGGTTAGAGCACTGGTCCGCACCTGGAGGGTAGTGGGTTGGATTCTCCGTCGGACGGCTTGCAGGTCCGACCTCCACCCTCAGGACATGTGTGGGGAGCAACCAATTGGTGTGTCTCTCCCTCCCACCCCCCGCCCTCAGGAAAAAAAAAAAATCAATGGGAAAATTTACCCTCCCTCCTCGGGTGAAGATGAAAAACACACAGTTCCCAACATGGGAACTGCAGATGGCGGCGATGTCCACTCCGTGCTCAGGAGCCCGGTCTCAGGGCTGGGAGGACGGGGGCGAGGAGACACACCGACTGTGGCCCCCAGGCCCTTCCTCGTGGCTTCACCGGGTAACCCCGTGGGATCAGCCCCCCAGAACCTGCCTGCGGAGAGCGGTATCTATAAAGAACCCCGAGGCTTCCCAGTGCTCATGGACGCGGACAGGAGACAGCGCTGGTGCTGGCGGAGACCCTGACGCGGGTGGGGGACACTCACCGGGTGGGAGTCGCCCAGGTCCCGGAACGTGCCCTTCTTGCCCATGAGCTTCCTGTAGACCACCATGGGGAAGTGCACGTCCAGGATGCAGTTGTTGTAGATGGCCAGGCCCAGCACGATGCCGATCAGCGTGAACTGGCCCTCCGTTTCGAACGAGGACGGATTGAACCAAAACAGCTTGGTGTTCTCATCGTAGGTGAACATGCCTGTAAGAAAAGGTTTTGTAAAATACAAAATATTAAAGACTGAGGAGCAATACAAACAGAATAATTACACAGGTAAACACACATAATAGGCATACGAAAATGTTTATCTCTATTGCATTAGCACTTGAGAAACCAAAGCTCACATATATGATGATTACAAATTGTGGCAAAGGTAGCACTGTATGTAATTTTAAAGAAGCCAAGGAAACAAGCAATTTCTTTGGCATTTACCAAAAAGTTAGATTCAAGTTCTCTACTCTTCTAACACGAAGTTAATTTGCATTCATACTTTATCCACCAAATGGTTGAAAAATGCAGAGAGAAAAGGCTGTATTTTGAAAATTTTTCACTTTAAAAACATCTTTAACCCACATGTGCTGCTTTAAAGCACAATTCTGGGTCGTGAAGGGAAAGTCTGTTTTTCCAGAAGTGTGTCCAGCACCTTTCTAACCGAGTCAGGTGATGCCAACTCCATGCCCTTCGATAAACGCGGATTGTGTCCACAGCTCAAAGCTGTCTGATACACTAATTCTGAGCCAATAAATAAAACAAACGTTGTTTGTATTCACAGTCCCCTTTCAGTTTTTATGGCCTCCACTATTCAAAATCCAAGCTTGGAGACCTTTCTTTTGTCTCATTCATTTAAAAAGATAAATCTTTGGTTCTGCCTATCTTAATAACCATTACTACCCTTTAAATGAACATCTAAGGACAAGGTTAATCTTGTAATTGAAGTTACAATATTTTATTTTACTAAAATGTTTTTCAGTTGCTATTGAAAACTAAATAAAAATAGTTTAAGAATTACATCTGGAGCCCAGCTGGTGAGGCTCAGTGGTTGAGCTCTGACCTATGAACCAGGAGGTCACGGTTCCATTCCTGGTCAGGGCACAGGCCCGAGGTGTGGGCTCAAACCCCAGTGGGAGATGTGCAGGAGGCAGCCGATCCATGATTCTCTCTCATCATTGATGTTCCTATCTCTCTCTCCCTACCTCTGTGAAATTAATATATTAAGAACAAATCTGGAAAAAATGGGGAATTTCAAGTACAACAAACTTCAGAAATCAATACAGCACGTAAATAAATAATCAAATTTTTAAAAGCTTAAAATGTCTCATTTTCATTTAGCTTGAGTGAAATATAAAAGGAACCTTGAACGAGGACATTTTTCTAAGACAATGTAATGGTCATGAAGTGACAGTTTGGTACCATCCACTTTACACTTGGCTCTCACATTTTTCAGGTCTAAAGTAGTACAACTTGCATGGCCAACGGAAAGCTTCCTTTGGTTATAGACACAGTATCCGCAGGTCAAGCCAGTCTACATGCTCCCAGGTCATTAATACAGTTAATGGCACTTCAGACGGATGCCCTTGGTCTCAAAAGCAACCACCTACAAACGCCCCATGTGCCCTGCACAGGCCACTGCTCCGTCTGCAGGAAGGTCCCACACGTCAGGGCTCAGGCACCAGGGAAAAGCCCCATAAGACAAAGGGTGTGGCTCTTCTGAAATCTTTTTTGCTGTTTCTCTGACCGCATTTCAATCACCTTCCATCAAGTAGGATGTGTAACGTGCATTTTTCTTAGTAGTTCTGCAAATACCATAAATCTAGAGCTAATGTCTAACATTTCTAGGTGCATGAGAAACTAGTGCTGAGGTTGCCAAATGTATGAAGCTTAAAAATTAATTTCCTATCTCAAAAAGGGCATGATTTTATGTGTCTCACAGGTTTACGCTGAACACAGTACTCACAAATGGCATGGCCGTCTATGAGTTAACGTTAGCCAGAATGCAGAGTCTTCCCACACCTGTGTGGTCAGGAACTCGATGTCTCGTTCCATTGACACGTGTACAGGCGACAGGCTGAGCACAGGGCCAGAAAAGCCAGCTCAGCGCACACCCTGGGACCAGCAGGCAGCAGCTATGGGGGCCTCTGCGTGGCTCTGTGCCCCATCTTCAGGTTCTCGGGGCACCTGGAGTGGGAGCCTTTCCCTACGACCGTCATGCACTCCATGTAACAGTGAGCAAGTGGCCCTAGCCAGTGTGGCTCAGTGGATAGAGTGTCGACCATGCACTGCAGGGTCCCGGGTTCGATTCCAGTCAGGGCACATGCCTGGGCTGTGAACTGGTTCACCAGTGGGGGGCGTGCAGGAGGCAGCTGATCCATGATTCTCTCTCATCATTGATGTTTCTATCTCTATCTCCCCCTCCCTTCCTCTCTGAAATCAATAAAAACATATTTAATAAATTAATTAAATAAAAGTGAGTACGTGGTTCCAGTGTAGACTCGGAACCAGCTCAGAACTGGTCACTCCCTGAGCCGCTCTGCTACTCGATCGCTGTGACTCAGAGGAATTCCACTTCTTCCACAAGCAGATCACACGTTCCCACCCTGTGCTCCACGGAAACGCTCTGGGCGGCAGTGACCATCAGACGTGGGGCAGGAAACGGCCTCGGGCTCAGAAAGTGGGGGAACGGCCGGGCACAGACCTGGCTTCCGGGGGACCAGCCAGCGCTCCCACACCCGGCACGACGCACTCACTGCCGTTCTCACACTCAGACCACTGTTCTGTGAAACTCTTGTCTCAGAAACGCTGTGAATTTGATGAATGTTTTAGCCCAGGGGTGGGCAAACTTTTTGACTCGAGGGCCACAATGGGTTCTTAAACTGGACCGGAGGGCCGGAACAAAAGCATGGATGGAGTGTTTGTGTGAACTAATATAAATTCAAAGTAAACATCATTACATAAAAGGGTACGGTCTTTTTTTTTTTTAGTTTTATTCATTTCAAACATTGAGTTCCTGACCTATAGTTTGCCCACGGCTGTTTTAGACTAAAAAGAGCAAAGGCGGCCTCCCAATGGGCCATTCTAAAGAGCTTTCCGTTTATTTACCCACGAGGTGATCCCCTGCATGAAAATATTTGGCCGAGTGATAGCTAAGGAAGAACTTACATGAACGAGTGAGGTAGGTCAGTCCCAGGAGCCCAGACTCCGTCGGGGTTGGTGTGCCGAGGGAATCGCACAAACCATCTGCTGCTGCCCTCCTAGTGAGAACACCACACTCCCAGGAAACCAAGTCTCCGCTCAGGGAGACGCCTTACCGATGTCGGGGTTGAAGATCTCCTCCACAACCAGCTGGAAGAATTCTTTGGAAACCCCTCCCTCGTCAACTCCTTGTTCTCCTTCGAACTCCACATACAACTGTTTCTTCAAGTCAGCAGGGTTCTCCATCGCGATCATCTCTAGCTGGGGAGCGAAAGGGAAGGGAGGTGACTGTGGCGTCGGGCACAGGAACGCACACACACGAGAAGCAAACACGAGGGC